GGAGACCCCCTCTGGGGGATCGAAATCAATTTGGCGCTTTACCACACGAACATGCCCCAAACACGACACGCCCACCCGCCTGTCCGTCTCACAGTCTATCTCCATTCGGAGTCGCACAAATGCCCCAAAGGAATTGCTTCGACCGGACCTGGCTAAAACGGACTAAAAAACTAGTCAGAATATTAAGTCATAATGCAACTATAAGATACCTGGTACTTGGATATGTGAGAGAGTTGATTATTAATAAGATTTTAATGGCTTGAAAATTAGTGATTTACAAAATGATACAGAAGATATGTTGAAACTCTAAAGAAGGTATCGAAAGCTATCCTTTAAATTGTTGTATCTTAAATGTTGGTGTAAATGCATACATTTTTCTATTTTTTTATGGATTTTAAAACGTCAAGGCATTTCTATAATACCCTTTTATACCAATAATTTAAAATAAATGATCAGATTATCATATTCATTTAATTAAAAGGAGCTATTTAAGTAGCTTTAAGGTTTTAAAACTCCAAATCATTTGTCCAGTTATATAGTAGAGTCATATACCTTTTCATACAATATACTCTCCTTCTCTAAGAGTATAGGGTATCCAGACTTAGACACAACCCAAGTCCGAGCCAGAGCAGCCACCTAACTCTAATTGGGCATAATTTAAATTCCACTCGTGAGCGCCATGAATTGTATTTAACGTTTTGGCGCTTCCCAACTTGGGACTGGGACTCTCTTCGAGCTCCTGGCTTTTGGCGGTAAATTTCATTTGATTTTATTTGGATTCTCTTAGCCAGGCTAACCGGCAGCTGGCCCAAGCAGCACAGATCGCAGACGGCGATCCTCCCGAATGCTTCCTTATTTGTTTCCACCTTTATGTGTTTGTTTTCAATTCCCAGCTTAATTGGTTTTGCGCCTAAACCCACCCAGAGATATTGCCAAGAAGGAGACCTGGGCCACTGATAAAAGTTCGATGCCTTAGTTTTGATTGGAAGGCGGCTATTAGAAAATTGAATCTATGCGAACGAGTGTGGGTTGGGTTTTGTGTGAAAGTCGTTAACAAAAGGTTGTTATAGGATTTTCTAGCCAGTCTTTGGCAAGGAAACTGGCAGAACTTGGCCAGTAATCGTGCAGTTCTTAGTAGGTCGTAATGCAGTGAATGGTGAATGGAAAATTATTTCCTTAAGTTGCTAAAACGTGATTTGAATTAATGTTAATTATATAAATTGTAGAGATAATAAGTATTAAATAATTTGGTTAATTCCTAATTAAGTTTTTATATTGCATTTTATAATTGTGTTGTTTATTCTTTTAAATAATATAGCGATTGTTTTAGGAACCTCGCTTTAGACCAATATAGTTTCACACTTCATGTGTAATTTCTACAGAAACTTAAACAGGAAATCCTGCCTAAATAGTGAACCTTATTCTATACCTTTTTCTCTAGAAAATCTTTTTGAATTTTCCAAGGTCCTCAAAGTGTGCCCTCTCCGCTGTCTTATGGCTTTGCTGTCCCGCACTTGTGCCAAACAATTTGTAAGCCATCATTTCAATTAAGATGCATAAATCACGCCGAAATCAGCAGCCTCATCAGGGCAGCAGCGGCAACATCATCGTCGTCGTCGCCGCCGCCACGATAATCCTCCGCGTACACATCGTTATCCTCAAGTACGTTCGGGGCACTTAACCAGCCCAAAAGGAACCCTTTTATTTCCGTTCAATCTCTTCTTCGAGTCGGTTTCTTCTGGTGCCGCCTCGGGTTCGGTGTTCGATTCGCTTAAACGAACCAATTTAAACGGCGCACCGACACTGGATGAGTCCATAAGTGTGCGGGCGTCATGAGGTTCCAGCTCAATCCAGTTCCATGTCAGGGAGGGAATCAGGGGATCGAAGCGGCAATTGCAGGCTCTTTTTTAAAAGGCCTCGTGAAACCGAAACTGCCGATTCACGCTCCCAACCATTGCTTGTTTAAGGCATAGAAGCAGGAGCCAGAAGTTGTAGTAGGTACAAAACAGAGAAATGTTATGGATATGAAGGATTTTGGAAACTTATTCTTTAGTCTTTAACAATGTGTCAAACATTAGGTTACATTATTATAATTTAATGTTGAAAAATGTTATTCATATATTCTGATAATTGTTAGGGCCTTTTCTTATGAACCTTTTGTAGTTTTAGAGCACACTTCAGATTGAGATATTAAAATAATACCAGACGAGGAAATCTAGCTACTTTCATCTTTCCTATGACTCTTGTGAATCTAAGAGTCTTGCAAACATAAGAAGAGCCAACGTATGCTTTATTTTATATTTAAAAAATTTATTAAATTTCATTAGACACCTTTTTAGGGCTTTTTATAATCTAGTATTTACTGGAGCACTATTAAAAATATATGTATTATATATTTGATATATGAATTTACTTACTTTTAAGGTACTAAGGTATCATTGATCGAAATGATTTAGCTTCTTCCAGCTTTTCTTCTTCTAAGAGTCTTTCAAATTTTATTAGAACTTCAGAATTATTCCTCTTTAGTTGAAGGGTATACAAAAGCCGTTGCTAATGTTATATCTCCTATAACAGAGATCGAAAGAACCGATGAAGGATCGGCAAACTTGAACTTTCCACAACTTATTCCAGCTTAACAAGCATATGATGAGCCAACTTATTAGGAAAAACGAGGTATTTATGTAAGTGGCACACGATTGGGCTGCAAATAGCTGCCGGCAACATGAAACTTGCCACCGTGAGGCATCCCCTGATAGTTATTTTCCGATACTTTTTTTTCGATTCTCTCGAATTGGCGTTAAGTGCCGCAATTCGCTGCACTCCTCGGAGGGGGCCTTTGGCCTGTTGAAATGCCGTGACGACGTCACAAAGGCACCGCAAGGATAATAATCAGAAATGAGCGTAGGACACGGCGGGTCAGGACCTTCGACTGTCAAAACGGAATGCCAGGTAAACAATAAAGTGACGAAGGCTCGCAGGGACAACAAGGGGCAGACAACAAAGGAAACTCAAGTGCAAGGTGCTCGCAGGACTGTAAATACTATCCTTTGCGCTTCGGGAAATTCCCAGTTTAAGTGGCCGCTGTCCAACACGCTAGCCACTCGCAGTCGTCGTTGCCTGTTAAGGCCAAACAAATTGGCCTGCACCTTGCCACCGAAAGCGGCAACAGCAACAAGTATGTAAGTCAACGTGATGGGTTCGTGTTTTAAGAGAGTTCCCTGTCAAGGGCCAAAGAGAAAACGGCGACGAAAGAGTGAAAAGCGATCTACAATGTGGATCGTAAGTGGCCCGGCATGTAAACACTTCAGGTGATAAGCCGGCAATGAACTTTGGAAAAGTGTGCTGAAATAAGAAATTGGTAAGAAATATTAGCTATAACAATAAATTAATGTAAAGCAATAATATTGTATGATATATTTGACTTCAGAGGAATACTTGATTTAAAACCATATTAAAAATAGTCGTAGAAAAACGTGTCTTCAATTTTATAATTTAAATAGTTAATAAAAAACATTATGTATATTTATTTAGTATTATATTTATTTGATTTTTAATAAATATTAATAATTAAAATAAATTGTAAGATACATTTATATAAATATATTTGCCTATATGTATGTTATACTTACAGAGTTATTATATGGGTTTGGATATGAACTCAATGACATAACTGCAACTAGTTTTTTTTTATAACATTCAAACATTAATATATTAATATTAATTAATATTAACATAAAACATTTAAACGGTATTACGAACTAGGAATTCTTCAAAATTCTTTAGTTATATTTAAAACAAAAATTTTTTTCTTAGTTTAAGAATCATTGAATATATGCACCCTAAAATTAGTATATACTCAAACAGACATTCGACTTGCCACTTTGAACTAGTTGAACTTTATTAGCCGTCTTAATAAAATATCTTAAAATGTAAAAAGGTTGCATATTCCATATTTATTTTAATAGTAATACAAAAAATTAAATTTTCTGGGATATCTTAATTTTATATTATCACTTTTACTTTAATTTTCAGAAATTTTGTATTTTTATGACAAGTGTATTAATTGCAAGAGACTGTAATCCAAAAAATGTTCTTTAACAACTCACCGATCACAGATCCCTTTTCGTATAGATCACCTAGATCAATAAAATCCCGAGGTGTTATATTTCTCGGAAGGCCAATGAATGCCACTTCCTCCTCCGCCACGGCAAACGATCGAATGCGATCGAATGCGATCCACAGAGAACGACGCGACGTTCGGTTCGAGCCGGCGAGCAGCCGAAGTGCAGCGCGATCAGTTCGTGTTTGTTGGTCGTTTGCGTAGGACGCAAGATACGCGCCGGTTGCGGTTCCGAGTGCTGTGCAGTGCAGTGTAAATTCTAGATGATAGTGCGTTCGAATAGTGTTCGAATTGTGGTGCATCCAAGCCGCTGGCGATAGTTTATGTGCCATTAAAGGCGAAACGGCAATTATGCGATAAGAGCTGCAAATAAATAAGTGAATGCTGCAGCTTGGGGCACGCCATTTCCGAGTTTGCCAGCATCGAATGATCGAAAGTCTTCTGGCGAATGGCTTCTTTTTTTGAATTGAGTTCTTCGCCCCTCGCCGAGGATACGAAAATAGCAGCCGCGGAAAAATGTTTGCCTGTCGCTGAGCAGGAAAGTGGGAAATGTGTCTGAAACAAAAATAAAATTAAACGCCGCAAAAATGCTAAAGTAGAAAAAGAAGTCTACGCTAAATAGAGCAAAATTAAAGTGAAAAAATCGCAAGAGCAAATGCATGCGTAGAAAGTGTACAAAAATCGAGCGGAAATCGTTAATGAGCGAGAAGAAAGAAATAATACGAAACTACAATCTGTGGCAGTGCGTATAAAAATAGAAGATTATGAATGAAAGTGCCATCGTTGCAATAAAAGCAAAGTTAAATAATTAAAAGCAGTTCCAAGTTCAAAGTCGAACGGAATAAAATGTGTTTTTAGTGTTCTTTCGATTCGATTAAGTATGCAAATCAGTAAATTCACCAAGTGGCCCCTGTGCCTGGCCCTCATCCTGTTGGCCATCCATGGCCAGGCCAGGCGTCAGCGGAAACGCCAGCCAGGACTCTCCAGTGCCAAGGAACTGAGCGAGTACAGCTCCTTGACCCTTCTCAACGAGACCTCCTCGGAGATGCAGCAGAGTGTAGTGTCCTGGACAGGAGCACGCATCCAGGTTAGCGACAAGCAAAAGAAGATGTCATCTCACTCGGCGCGTCGTCATAAAACCAAGAGTGGCCTCCTGATTGAAAGTAACGTTGCCGATGTGGAATCCACCTCCGTGGAGTCTCTTGTCACCAAGAAGAAGTCACCGCAGCGTCGTCGCAATGGAAAAATGCAGAAATCCGGAGGAGGAGGAGGTAAGTGCCAATAACTATAAAGGGGATCCTCTAAATATGGTCGTCTCTCTGATCGATTGTGCAGCACCAGAAGTTGCTCGCATTGCTCGCCTTCAGTTTCCTGGTCTTTGCCGGTCTCTGATCGCTGGTCTTTGGTCGTGTTTCTGCCATATTTGGCCGCTCAAGTTGAAAGAACTTTCATGTGAAAGTTGTGACAGCAAGAAGAGATTCTTTATTTTAGCCTCTGTGTAACTCTATATGTTATTACGTGAGAGGTCTAGTTATGGTCCGACAATGCAGCACTGGTCTTTGGCTTGTCGTTAGTTGGAAAATGCTCTCTGACTTGGTTATGTGAACTTTGCCTATTAGGAGTAGGAATAGACAAAGCTGTGACCAACTTCCTCAACCTTTCTATTTGGTCTACAGTTGATATAATTCCTTGTTATTTTATAAAGATTCAAACATGTACTGCATTTGCATACACATTCTTTAAACTTGTGTCGTCAAACAAATTACATTTTCATCTTTTGTTCAACAATTGGTAAGGCAATTGGATTGACGAACACAAAGATGAATATCGATGAATAGAGAAACAATATGCGGCACATGTTCTCGAATGATAGATGTTCTCCAGAAAGTACGTAGTAGCCCTTGGCAATTGTCCCGAGCATGTGTGTGGGGGTTTGAGCACTCGAGGCGTTTGTTTGCCGAACACATGACCCCGAGAACCTCGGAGACCTGAGATCCGACGGAGGGAACAATAGCGCCAGAGCCTGGTGAGGTTGTCGCCATAATTGTGGTCGGATGCCGTAACTAGGCAGCGGCAACAATGGACGATTGTTAGGCAGCTCGTCCGTGTAGAGAGCCCCTGGAGAGGATAATTGATGGAGCCATGCGTATCGCCTTTGGGAATGCCTCCTCACGCGCTAATAGGAACATATGTTTCCAGAGGCGAGGAAACGCAGGCCAAGAACCCACACACATGGTCAGAAGAAAAAAGGGTTTATTAAAATATTTTCCAGTCTGCTATGGTTATAAACCTTAAGTGGCTTACTATGTCCACGGTCGTAGAAATTTGTTTTGTGGAAGCCAACAAAAGGCGTAACAGATTGGGTTCTGCTTCCAAGTTGCATGTGGAAATGTTTGGTTTTCGTTTTTATTTTAAGCTGTCGTATAATAATAAGTTTCAATGATTAGCCCAGAAAGATAAGGGAAAGATTAGGTGAGAATTGGAAAATATACAAATAAGATATACATATATCGCATTTATATTTTGTGATGTTTCTTTAATACCTAATTCAATATAAAAACATGGATTGAAATGTATGGATTTGAAACTCAATTATAAATGCAACATTTTTTTTAGGTTTTCTGATAAAAACTATGAAGCTTGAACCAAACTCACCTGAACAACTCAAATGACACCAGTTTCTGGTTAACTTTTTTTCAACAAGTGCTCGGTGGAGCGATTTCCTGATGCCATAATAATTGCAAATCAATTCGAAATCATTCAATTGTAAATAGATTCAATGAAACACTTTTCAACGCCCAAAGCCTTGAAGACATAATCGCGAATTGATCGGGCAAATTACGGCTGATTATTTGGAGTAAAGTCGCATTTATAACGTCCAAATGCGGCGATTGGCATTAATTGATTGATTGATTGGATTGTTTGGATTAGAGAAGGAGAGAAAACGAAAGTTTCCCAATGGCGAAATGGGTCACGGATACAGCTACACGACCACCAGATACAAAGATACGAATCTATTGACCCGCGCTTGCATTTCCGTTGAGTTTGTCCCGCCGCTGCGTTTCCCAATCAGGCGCACAGATACACGCACTTTATCAGCTCATTAAGTATCTTGTGGATACATTCTTTGCGCTGGTAGCCGTAACTTATGGCCAACTCATATCCAGCCGCTGTTTGCTTTGCTCCGTCGATCGAAAAGTATGTTTGGGAAATGCATTCTTCATTGATTTTCCCCCGCTTTCGTTGGTTTTGTTTGTTTCTTGTTAACTGCATTACACAATGCCCGGAGATGAAAAGCGCACTTCAGCGTTCTCCAGCCTTCCTTCGGTGGCTGCTGATGCCTCTGGAAATTTAGATTTGTGGGAAAATGCTCAGTTGTCGGCCTGTTGGCCGTTGTCATTGAGTTTTATTTGTTTTTAATTTTTTATTGACATGTGAAGTTCGTAAAAGTTGAGTGAACTCTTACGGTTGATTTCCCAGTGCCTCCGAATGCAGCGTGAAAAGCAAAAGTATATTACACTTGAGTGACCAAAAAAGATACATTTTTTTGTGGAGATTTAATATTCATCATTTATGGTGGAACTAATGCATCTAACAGATTAGACGGACATCTACTTTATAGATTTTAACGAGGTGCTAAGATTGAGGAATTTTGAAACAAAATTTCTCGAATTCTTTGTCCATGATCTACGATTCATCTCGTATCCCGTGTGAGCTTTGCAACTCAGACCTGTTTATCGCTTATAAATCAACCATTCTCACCTGGTTTCGGTTCTCGCCTTCATCTCATTGCCCTTTGTTGTGATAATTTATTTAAATGCATTTTATAGATCGACTGGGTAACACCTGGCCGGGGCAATAATTTGCGTTGTCTTAACGGAAATGCTCAAAATGATGGATGCACCAGACAGCTGGTTAAAAATGTGCAACAGTTGAGAGTTCGGCCTACATTGAGGGAAAAGTCCCCCCTTTCAAACCGAGCACATGTCAAAAACTTTGAGCAGCGATGGGAAAAACAATTGTTGGACTCATTAAATGCAAACAAAAGACCGTGGAGCATTGTTCATGTTCTTCGGGTAATTTGATATCGAAACCCAATATGTCTTTCAAATAATTCTGCCACAGCCTTTTGAAGTAATCGGGCACTCCGGCAGCGTTAAACTAAAGTTGGAGACCATTAAAATATTTTTATAGACCACAAAACGGAACACACAGAGGCCAAGAAGCCCTGAAACTTCCCATGTAAACAACGCACAAATAACGCACTGGGATCGGGCGGGAGTTTGTAAACAAACAGATTGGTGGACCAAAACAAAAGGAACTTTAGCACCGAACCCAGCTGACCGGCAGACGCCACAAATGATCTATGGAAATTCCTCACCCAACATCATCGTCAGCGAAACAAAGCGATTCGGAGTTTACACAAATGGGAACATTACTCTCCCGGAGCTTTTTTTGAAGCTGGATGCTGGGAGAGTTCCGGAACAACATCTCAAGATCTCGCGTTCCCCAAGGTACTTTGAAGTGGACGGCCCTCCTGTCCACTCAGTCCCTCGTGTTGGCATTCGGCCATAAATTAATGTTATAGACCAAGTTTTGATAAGACTTTGACGCCGTCTGAGCGGCGACGACGACCCCAAACAATGACCCGGGGAATAACAGCAACAACTGGAACTTGGGGGCAACTTGGATGCAGGCCACCGGAACACATAACGGGTCAGCGGCTCTTGAGGAGCAGTCACCCATTTGCACTATGGGCAAAAGTGCGATTAATGCGGATAAATATAAATGCAATTTATGTCTTATACAATTTAAATTTTCAAATAGAGCGTTAATGCTGTATTTAATTATTATCAAATCTTTGAAGAATATCCTATATGGATTATAAGAATTTGTTATGTTTTGTTGTTTAAAATGTATTTTATATAAAGTTAAAACTAATGGTAAAAGGGTAGGAAGCTTGGTGAAGCCAGTTAGTTTAAAATATATATATTAAAAAAAGATTATATTAAAAACCCATAAAGATCTTATCCAAGAAACAGAAAACCAATAAATAGTCTTGGAATTAAAGCTGTTTCTATGTCACGTCCTCCTTCGTATCTGTGTCCAAACCTGGCCAATTTCTACTTGTTTGCCACTAGACCCTATTGGGAATTATAGTGCAATATCATTGGTAAATGCATTAATGCAGCAGAAGATCCTTCTGCTCTAAATTTTAATTCGTTCTCAACTTTCAAAATGCGAATTATTAGTACATATTTTTTAGGAAGTTTCTATTTGTTTAACAAAAATATATACAATTTTTTTACCCACAAAAACCACTTTCTTACCCACTGTTTGATGGTGGGTGAGGGGACCAGAACACGACATGGGTTCTACGGGGAGTGTATAACAAATTCGAAGCTCGTTAGTGCAGACACTTGAGATAAGAAGTCGAAGATGGTCGAGCGAATAAATTGTTTCTAGTCTTCAGATTTTTGTTGTTTCCCCAAAAAATGTGGGTCAGTTTCAAAGAGAGCTGTAAAGGAAACAGTAGTAGGTTGCAGAGTCTTGACCAAGCTCCCCAGTTGGCTAATGATGTTACAGTTTATATATTTTAAGCAAAAGTGCATCAATAATATAAGATTTTCATTTTCAACAAGAGCAAACTAAAGTAATATTTATTAATTGTAATAATATACTTTTGGTAATTCGATCATATCAATTTGTGTTCTTTGAATATCATTTTTTCAGAGCTCGATTAAATTTAAACTAAAATTTAATGAAGACAAATATATTTAAACAATTGAATAAAATCCTTAAAAGAAGATTTCATAAAATGTTGGAAAAATGTGTCTCATTATCCTAAATATAAGCAAAATATACAATTACTTACTAACAACAACATATATTCCAATATGTTAAAGAACTTAATCTTGATGAAAATGCTCTGACAGTGTTTTATCAACACTATTACTCCCCCGAAAAAACCATTAAATACCTTTCTTACCCAACTGAACCGTACTAGAGAGTATGTATACTCGACTGATCATCAGTTCTTCCTTTGTGATATCTTGTAACCTCCTTGGAGAACGCTCTGCGTCTTTATCAGGCGGTTTGTCACTTTTACCGAGACTGATAAATGATCGTTGATCGAATGCCACGACAACTGTCATTGAACTTCATTGATAAATGCCTTTGAAAAGCGACAGGAAAGACACTGCCCGCTTGGAAAGTATCTGTTTGCGATGCCAGTGATAAGCTAAACACATATACGTTATCCCCCGAAAAC